CCTGCCGGCTGGCAGGCTTCTTGCTCGGGTGCCCTAGAGCCTCTCCAGGTAGCCCTTTGCTACTGGCGAGCAGTAGGGCGGAAGCCTGTGGAAGTCTCCCTGTTCTCTGCACCTGGCACCTGCAGCCTGGCTGGTCACTAGGGAGTTCCAGGGAGTTGGCTTCCCGCTGGGAGTCACGCCAGGGTTTTATAGTGTCACCAGACGGGGGCCATCGGATCATCTAGTTTGATCTTCCCCAGTGACCTCTGTGTGGAGCCCGCTACTGGCGAGCAGTAGGGCGGAAGCCTGTGGAAGTCTCCCTGTTCTCTGCACCTGGCACCTGCAGCCTGGCTGGTCACTAGGGAGTTCCAGGGAGTTGGCTTCCCGCTGGGAGTCACGCCAGGGTTTTATAGTGTCACCAGACGGGGGCCATCGGATCATCTAGTTTGATCTTCCCCAGTGACCTCTGTGTGGAGCCCAAAGCATTTCACTGTGCCCGGGGGAGAGCAAGGGAGCCTGAGGTGCCCCCGATGGCCCTGTCCCTGTACAGGCAGGGAACTGATCAGGCGAGATGTGCCCAGCTGATTCAGACCCTGTGCTGCAGAGGGATAGACACAGCCCTGGCCTAAGGTGTGAACTCCCTAGCCTCTGTGCAGACTGGATGTGGGAGGGGCAGGGGGATTCCTTTCCATCCCTAGCTCTGGTAATCAGCTGGGCTCTAGCATGTGACCAAGACACACTAGCCAGGTGACTAGAAAGGATTCTCTGTATCCCTTCAGAGCGCTGGTCCAGCCTGCCTGGTGTCTCTTCCCAGCTGCGGAGAATCCCTCATGCTTCAGAGGAAGGCAAAATAAACCTTGATCTATGTAGCCAGTAGTGCGTTGAAAAAGCAATGCCTGCCTGACCCCTGGAGACAGCTGGCTGGCTGAAACCTTGCCGCATGGCACTGGATTAGTCACTATCTTCATGCAAAACTGTAGTGTTATCAGCATGTTGAGGGCAACGCAGGGCCCAGGAAGGAAGGGGATGAGTATGGGGACCCACAGATCCACATGTTACAAGGCCAGGAGGGGTCACCACAAGTGCTCAGCCCAGCCCCGGCTGCAAACAGTTTTGTTGCTGGGTTAGAGCATCTCCTATAAGTGATGGGAGGAGGGGGAACATGGCTCTCCGAACTGGCTTCATGCCAATCCTGAGCCGGTTCCTTAAGGGAGCCCTTGTGCGGTGGGCTGCAGCACTCTTCACAGCCTTTTTGTGCTACCCAGACACTTGTGGTGCTGCCTTTGTGGCTAGGAGTCCTGGGACTTACTGGCTGCCAAGGTGGAGAGCTGATGGCCCTACGCCATAGACTGTCTAGCCGTGAACTAGAACCAGTATTGCTAGCAGTACTGGTCATTCCGTGCCCGGTGGGTGTGTCTGTCGGGACAAGCCGCTGTTTGTCAGGGGCTGGGAATGGGAACAGGGAAGGGATCACTGGCTGATTCTCTGCTCTGCTCACTCCCTCTGGGGCTCCTGGCACTGGCCACTGTGGGCAGACAGGATGCTGGGCTGGATGGACCTTTGGTCTGATCCCGCCTGGCCACTTGGATGTAAGCCTGGCCTTGAGCAAACCCCAAGGCCTCTGTGTGTGTGAGAGCACTAGGAGTGTGCTGTGCACGTATGTTCGGGTGACTCAAGAGCAAGTGTGAAAAATCAGGCCAGGGTGGGAGATAATAGATGCCTCTAGAGACAGTCTCACCTACCAGGACTCTCCCTGTGAAATGGGGACATGCATGTGCACAGTGTCCTGCAGGGAGAGAGGTGTGTGCAATGTTCTGTGCGTTGTGGAGAGGCACATTCTGGTGATGGGCAGGGGGAGAGAAGTTTTAGGCCCTGTGTGTGTGTGTGGGGGGGGGGGGTGTTGGGCCTGCATTCTGTGCACCACAAGATACTTTGGGGACGTTCTGTGCCAGAAAATTCTGCACACGCTATTTTAAAATTCTGCCGATTGTGTTTGACAAAATAACTCGTCGTAATTGTGCCAGTTTCAATTATTTTGGTAATCTATTTCAAAATGCCTGTTGGGCAAGTATGTCTGTAACAAAAGATACTCACTCTCTGTGTCTCCCCTCCCTCCCTCCCCCAGGAGCAAAGCGTGAAACTCCTGTGACAACCTAGTTCCTGTTTCTCTGCCCTTTCTCCTCTCTCCCTGTCCCCTGCTAGAGCCCAGCAGCAGAACCAGACACCCACAGCCCCTTCTCCCCAGAGCCAAGTTTTGGTTTGATGAGTCACTACACCAAACACCCATATGCTCCGAGCCCAGCTATGGGGCCCTTTCTACTCCTGGGAGCCCAGGGATCCAGTGAGAGAAATAGCCCGATGCATGCACCCAGGTGTGTGTGGAGATTCCCACACGATGCCATCTCCTTCCCTCAGGGTGTGCTGGAAAAGAGGCATGTGAATGGTTAACTAGTTCCCTGGGAGCAGCCCCGCACCTGTGGTCTGTGAGGTCAGGAGCCGGCAGCCAGCCCCTGCAGCTGATGGCTGGGAGCAGGCGCCCTGAGGGCTGCTCCAGCTGGGCTGGAGTGGTCCCCTGTCCGGGATCCCGCTTAGTTGGTTAACTGGTTAATTGGGATTTTACTTCTCTACTGGAAACAGCAGCTCTTGGCAACCTCGATCACTCTGCCCCTCCCACCACAGTGTCTGCTATGTGATAGCTGGGCTCTGCTTGATTCTGTGGCCCATGTCTGTGAGGGAAAGGAAATTCTGCGCGCACGATTAATTGTGGCAAGTGAGCTAAGAAATTACAGAGCGGGTGTGATGTGTGTTTACATCCTTATAACGTGGCCAATCAGTAGGATGCTGTAGTCTGTCAGACTAGCCTCGTGCTAGATTTCATGTTTCTTCCCCAAAAGGCTCAGGGACAACAGTATTTTATTTGTCGCACACTTTTGTTTTTTGATAATTGCGATAGTGTATTTTATCCAAACCTAGACCTCACTCATGACCAATAAATAACCCAGTTTGAGTGACCGTAGAAGAAAATTAATTACAAAGATAGGTTTCTCTTGACTGTGTCATTTTAAGAAATGGTCAGTAGTTGCTTGCTAATGAGTCAGAGCAATTTTCACTGGGCAGCATGAGTATTAATGCAAATGTAAGGATCCTCGCAGACAACCCATGAAAGGGTAAAGCGTTAGGACCAGATTTATAACGGTGTTCAATATTCCACTCTACGAGAAGAGGATTATGGCTGGCAGAATCAAGGCATAGATTCTTTGCTATTCTAGCACTGATCTTGCCATTCTGCAAGCTTCCTCCTCTTTAGAAACAGGAGTTTGTCACTATCACTCAATACCAGTGACACTATGACACTACTAGTGGTAGTGCTAGTGAAAATATTTGGGGAGGCAGAATGTAACTGGTGATTTCTTATGGGAGCATTCAGTCTTGCTTGCCTTCTCACTTGGAAATATTTTTGTTTAAGAATCATAGATATGTAGACCTTGAAGGGACCTCTAGAGGTCATGAAGTCCAGTTCTCTGCACTGAGGCAGGATCAAGTAAACTTAGACCACTGATGACAAGTGTTTGTTCATCTTGTCCTTGAAAACCTCCAGCAATGGGGATTTTACAACTTCCCTTGGAAACCTATTATAGAATTTAACCATACCTAGTTTAAAAGCTTTTTCTTAATATCTAAGATCTAAATTGCCCTCACTACAGATTAAGTCCATTGCTATTTGTCCTACTTTCAGTAAACATGGAGAACAATTCATAGAATCTTAGAACTGTAAGATAGTGATAGAAATGTAGCCGTGTTAGTCTGGGGTAGTTGAAGCAAAATGCAGGACAATGTAGCACTTTAAAGACTAACAAGATGGTTTATTAGATGATGAGCTTTCGTGGGCCAGACCCACTTCCTCAGATCTGAGGAAGTGGGTCTGGCCCACGAAAGCTCATCATCTAATAAACCATCTTGTTAGTCTTTAAAGTGCTACATTGTCCTGCATTTTGCTTCAGTGAAAGTTAGACTTCTAAACTGCTTTTCTCTCAAACTGTTACCCTGTCCAGTTAATATCTGCATTAAAAAAAATGTTCTAAGGAATCAAGTCCTTTAATGGGAGAAGAGAAATAAATGCCATTTTGCACCATTTAAAAGTGAGTAAAAATTAGGGCTAGATTTCCATGTGTGATTTGGGGTTCCCAGTTTGAGGTACCTTAATGGGGCTTCTGAGAATCGGGTCTCTAAGAGTTGTATGTGAGCTTGAAGATGCTACAAACATGCTCATGTTCAGCAACTTTCATGGAGCTTTCCAAGTTTCAATCTTGCATCATCTAATTCCAGACGTTTCCACTCGACCTAATAAATGAGTTAGTGCAAGACTTTCATTGAGCAGCAAAGCTATAACACAGTGGGAGTTAGTCCATGATGTCTGTGAGGTACTTTAGGTTAAAAAAGTTACTTTTCCAGAGTGAGAGGGACCCTGCTTTTCCAAATCCATAGCACAGGAGCGCTTTCTCCAGATACCCTGAAACTTCTCCAGCCTTCCCTTGCCTGAGTGTGCTTTCTGTTTGCAATGCAGGGTGAGGAAGGCCCTCCTAGTTTGGAGTACATCCAGGCCAAGGATTTGTTCCCTCCCAAAGAGCTCCTTAAGGAAGAAGAGTCTCTACAGGTAAGGATGTAATACGAGAAACCTCCACTGTAGAACGTAATCCCAGGCCACAGGCTTGTAAGTGCTAGAGGTCACCTTCAGAGTAGAGGCTTCTTCCCTGAGCTTGCAGGCTGCTGCCACATGGCTACTGTGTGCTCCTCCCAGCCTTCCTCTTCCTCCACACCCAGACCCGCATTGCTGCGGCCACGAGGTGTTGGGAGCGTAACTGAGGAGCTGTTCTGGCCACGCTCCTTTCCACTGTGCTGTCCGCGAGGGGGGTGAATGTTGCAGCAGCCTCAATGGTGACTCTCTGCTGCTGGAAGACCCTTCCAGGCCACTTAGGCTGGTTGTAAGGACAGGCTGGGCCAGTGTGTGATGTTTGTGACTTTGCCGTGTGCGGAGGTGCAGGAAGCAGAGAACTCCCTGAAGAGGTGGTGCTATGGCCTGATGCTGTGAGCAGAGCTATTCGATTCTCCACTCCCTTCTGGTCCTGTGTGCCTGCTGTTCTCTCTTGGAGCAGGAGCTGCCACTCGCAGCTCTTATTCCTCAAGGCCTTTGCTGTGGATGGCAGTGCCGGGCAGCGCTGCAGTGGTTGCTCCTGAGCTGAGCAATGGCTAAGGGGTTGAAAATGGAAGGCCCTGAGAAGAGAGGGATGGCAGGGGTTTGATCGTGAGGGGGTTTGGAGCGACTGGTCTGCCTCCATTCTGAGAGGGGCATGTCCTCGAGCAAACCCTGAACAGCGCCTGGCCTGGTGCCACCGAGGCTTTCTGCAGACAGACCTGCCGTTCGGTGTCAGTCAGTCCCAGCACAAGCTCTCAGTTGAAATGGGGTGCAAAGGGACACGTCCGCTTATGGCCAAGATGGCTTCAATGGGTTAGAAATTGGGGCAGGTGCTCTCCCTGTGGGTTTGCTCCACGGTTCCCCCTTTGATTTTTACAGCCTTACAGGCCTGTTTTTAAAAAGCTTCTCGTTCATTTGCTGTGTGAAAGAGCCACACAAACATGGGAAGCAGCAACTCTGACCAGACAGACTGTCCAAAGCAGAATTGCAATAGTTTTACCCAGTCTCTCAGGTAAAATCTTTGGTATTGCATGAAACTCTTAAGTACACAGATTTCAGATAGAAGTGGTGTTTGAGTTGCTGGTGCCCTTTAAAGTTAACACACAAATAATGTAAGAGGGGAGACATTTTTAATAACTTAAAAAATGCAGAGAGCCAGGAAATTCAGTGTTTGGGCAGCACTCATGTAAGCCACAAAAAGATCTGAAATTAAACATACAGAATATCTGTCAAATCCCAGGGATTGGAGCTGGTTAAAGTGTTTGCAAGGAAGAATAAGTCCTTGGATGGCCCAGTGATGTGAACATTGACTACTTCATATTTTTGTGCAATTTGCTCACTGAAGTCTCACGTGGCGCCTGTTCTGTGATTGGATGTCCTGGCTGTCAGAGCGTCTCTGCCTTCACAAATCTTTGGGCTTTGAAGCTCTATGGGGAGGGAGAGGAGAGCCCAGTCTTGGCCAATGGGAGGCTATTCTGGACCTTTGCATCCCCCCTTTTGCACAAGATGAATATGACACCTAATGGTGTCCATGGCCTCCAGGGCTTAAAATAGCTGCCTGAGGAGGAGAGGGAGGAGCCTAGTTTATGGCCTGTCCGTCAGTCTTGCATTTCTATTTCTGTCGCTGGCCACTGAAGCGATTATGTGGTTTGTGCACGGTCCTGTCTGCAGAGAGCTTCCTGGCCTGGCTCTTCTACATGCTGGAGTCGTGGCCAGTGGGTCTCACGGGTCTCACGCTGCAGCCATGTGTGCGTGATGCTACAGGGCCATACGCAGGACTCTACGCAGTCTGGGGAGCTGGTTCAGTTGGGGCTCCGCAGACACCTTGCTCCCTGTTCGGGGACACACGGAAAAACCTCCAAGCAAGTGACCCGTCTTTGAGATCCCGCCCCTTTGCCTGCTGCATGTGCTAGTGCTGTGTTTACTCTAAGAAAGCCAGTGATTTTACATCCCTCTCCTGGCCACCCACACACCTTGCTCCAAGCACACACCGGTTCAGTGTGCACAGGACCGGGGCACCAGTGTTTGGGGTACAAACAGCTCCCCTCCAGCTGTGTGTGTTCCTGGACAGGTGAATGTGAGGGCCCAAGCATTGCGGAGTCAAACTGCGGGTCAGTCGAGCAGCCTTGCCTGTGAGCACGCTGCCACCCCGTTGGGTGCCACGTGCCCTGTGGGGTCCCACACGGTGCACTCTCAAGAGGTGAAGTCAGTGGGGGGGGGTGCACTGGGCCTGGAGATACCCACGGGCATTGCTGTGTCCTGCTGTTGTTGTGGGGAAATCGCACTGAGATGGCACTGGCAAAACTGGCGCTTGTCCCCATTGCACATGGAGCGCTGGGCAGGCATGTCTGGCAGCTGCCCCGACTCTCTTCCTGCTTGCAGGTCCCGTTTGCTGTGCTGCAGGGGGAGAGTGTGGAGTATTTGGGCCGTGCGAATGATGCCGTGATCGCCATCTCCAACTACCGGCTTCATATCAAGTGTAAAGACTCCGTGATCAGTGTAAGTGTGGCCCTGTCTTCGGGGGGTCTGCTGCCAACTTCCGTGGTCTCAGCAGGCCTTGAGTCATTCCAGTAGGGGCCTCGTGGCCTGTGACACGAGAGCTGCATGTCGAAGGAGGGAGGCAGGCAGGCACAATGCAGTGCTGTTAGCAAGCCACAGAAATGCTGTTCCTCCCCTTGGCAGGGTGAGGACCTCTGTGCTGGCGTGTGGGGACACTCAGACCTCTCTCTTGTAGTGACAGAGAGAGAAGTTCTTGCAGATCAGGCAAGACGTGGTGATTCTGCGACTGGTGCCAGGACGCATGGCCCACGCTGCTGAAGTTGGAGGCCTCCTCCCTCAGTGCCTTCATTCCCGTTTTCCTGCCGCCCGTGTCTCTTCTGCAGCTATGAGCTCTGGGTGCTTGCTAGGCTGTGTCCAGGGAGCTTGTGCTTCAGGCACCCTGTTGTTCTGTCCTCCCTGACCCTGAGAGAGGACAGGGTGGGGCTTGAGGGGAGACTCTAAGGTGCAGGTCATGAGCTGCCTCACCTTGGGATCCTCTTTGCTCTGAGAGCCTTGGCTGTGATATCCAGTGCAAGTGCCTGGCTGGGGTTTTTGCTGCCATGTGAAGCTGCGTCTTTCTCTTCCAGGTGCCTTTGAGGATGATGGAAAGCGTGGAGAGTCGGGACATGTTCCAGCTTCACATCGTCTGCAAGGACTCCAAAGTGGTCAGGTAGCTGCTCTGTTCCCTCCAGTGCCACCGTGTGACACTGCTCTAGCCTGGGGGAATCCCTGCCCTAGCCTGTACGGCTGCAGGGCTCTCAGGTCTCTGTGTGAGTGTGGCTAGCCCAGCCTTCCCTTGGGACGCTTAGAGCCCCGGGGTCTTCCCAGGGAGGCTGCGTCTGCCTCTCCTCCTCCTGAACTGGAAGTCTGACTCTGCCCTGCAGGTGCCATTTCTCCACCTTTAAGCAGTGCCAGGAGTGGCTGAAGAGGCTGAGCCGTGCCATTGCCCGCCCTGCGAAGCCTGAAGATCTGTTTGCATTCGCCTACCATGCTTGGTGCTTGGGAGTCTGCGCCGACGAGGGTGATCAGCATGCCCATCTGTGCCACCCAGGTGAGTTTCCAACCAGCCAACAGTGTGCTCCTCTCCCTCCCCCCAGCCTTTGAGACCCAGCTGTGTCCTCTTCTCCTGGGCGTTCCTTTCTGGCCACCATTTCTCCTCCTCTTTACCTCCCTGTCTCTCTTGGCTTTTCATCTGACCCTAAGGTCGGCTGCCCCTCACAGCATCAGCATGCTGAGACACGACAGCCCTGCCCAGCCGAGAGGGACTAGCGAGAGGGGATCCCACCTTTAGTGTACGCTGTCTTCCTCCCCTTAGGCCTGTCTCTTAGAAGCAGGGAAAGCAAACCTCCGTAAGAACTGAGCAACAACCCAGCTCTGTCCTTGCCACCAAGAACATAAGAGGCCACCTGATTACATCAGTTTTAAAGTTCCAGATCTAGGCTGGGGATCTGTGTTCCTAGTGGCAGACTCTCAATTCTAGAACATGCCTCCCAGTTGGTCTGGCTCTGGGGGCTGAGGAGAGAAGTTTGGAATTGCTGTGTTTACTTCGATGGAATAAATGGGCCCACGGAGTGAAAGGTTTTATACCACAACCCTGTTACTTCCAACATGAGAGAGTTTTAAATAAGACTTGGTGTTTGTTACTGGTACCTCAACCTTAGTGCCATGGCGCACATGCTAGGAGACGCATGCAGAAGTTTAGAGATGTAGTATTAGACTAGACTACACTACACAAGAGAGAACAAGGCCAAACAATTCAAGCCCTTTTAGTGGCAGTTGAATGATATGATACAAGGGAGAAGAACTGCAGGTGATGTGTTCACAAGGGAATGTGTTCTACAGAGTGATGGGAGAGAGACGGAAACTGTGTGCTTGTACTCTGGCTCCCCACACAGCTGAAAAGCAATAGCGTAGAAGTCATTAGGCAAGATGCTCTTTGCAATAAGAGTGAAAATGGGTGGGACCCTTTGCCCCACACTGTAAATAAGGCAAAGAGCTTGATAATGGGTGCAACAGGACAGAACCCGAAACACAGTGAAGCAGAACAGCCAGGGTTGCACTAGATCAAAAGGGGTAGAAACCCTCTTTTCCAGGCACGAGCAGAGCCAGCTTCTAACGGGGGTCAGTGAGGAAACCTGCTTGGAGCAGGTTATTCCATGATTGTCCACCAGAGGACTTCTCACACCTTCCCCTGGAGCGGCTGCCACTAGCCACTGTCAGACAGAAGAGAGTGGATGGTAGCCTAGGCTGGCGGTTCCCATGTCTTTGGTCTGTTCCTTGAGATGCCTTGGCACCCTGTGGAGCTGCCAGTGTGTCCCCAAAGCTCTCGGAGGAGCGAGCGTAGCATTTGGAGAAGAGCCCGTCCCACTGGGTACAGACCCCTCTGGCCTCTTGCTCCTCCAGCCCTGTAATGTTGCAGCTGCAGGTGTAGGTTTTCCTCAGTTGTGTCCAGCTCCCAGCAAGTGTGCTGTGCCTGTGCTGTTCCAGGAGACCATGTGAAGTTCCGGTTTGAGATGGAGCTTGTGAGGATGGACTTCGACTTGCAGAATGTCTGGAGAGTTTCTGACATCAACAGCAATTACAAGTGAGTAGCCTACCAGCCAGCTCCCACCCCTTGGCCCACGCAGGGTAGTGTACCAGGCATCTCCCCTGCCCTTTTCACACCCTGGCTACTAACCCACACGACAGGGCAGGATGCCAGCCATAGGTCACTCCTCACCCTGGGTTATGGGATTGGAGCAACATTGCACCTAAGCTAACGGGTAGCGTAAATTGCAAGAAATGCTGATGCATGCAGTTTACAGTGTGGCAGGCCTGGTTCTTCCATTCAAAGTGTTTCTGTTTGAGAAATTCCCATCCATTCTGCTCCTTTTCTGATCTGGAATGCACGAGTGCATGTGCTCAAAGAAACATTGATTCCTTATGGTAATTGTGGCTCTTTGAGACATGTTGCAATGTGTATCCCACAACCTACCCTCCATCTCCTCGACCTCAGAACAGAGGGTGGCCAGGGCACTGTCCCCTCACGTAGCCAGGGCAGGGTCTCTGCCTGCCAAGTGTGAGCACTGTCCCTACCCGGGTTCTGCTAGGCCACATTCTCCAGCTTCAGTGTGCTGGGCATGAACACAGCGAAGCAGAGTCCGTGTCTGCATTGCATCCGACAGAGCCACAGTTAGGCTGCGTCTAGACTGCAGGCTTCTTTTGGAAGAAGCTTTTCCGAAAAACTTCCGAAAGAGCACGTCCAAGCTGCCAAAGTGCATTGGAAAAGAGATCTGCTTTTTTGAAAGAGCATCCACGCTGAATGGACGCGCTCTCGCATGTCAGCTGTGGTTGCTATGGAGGGAATGGCCTCCTGGGTACCTCTGCTTTTTCTTCTTCTTCCGAAAACTCCCTCTTCCCCGTTCGCACACGGGGCTCTTTCGCAAAAAGGCTTCTTCCGCATAGAAAGAGACAACGCTGGAAGAACCCCTCCGTTCTTTCGATTTACTTTCGGAAGAACGTGATAGCAGTGTGGGTGTAAGTGAAGATTTATTTTCAGAAAAACAGCCGTTTTTCCCAAAAAAGCCTCTGTAGTGTAGACGTACCCTTATAGTCCAGTACCTGTTTTCTTTTACCTCATGTCAGTCCCCATTACCAGCTGGGGTCTGTTTCAGCCTGACTTTCCCTTAACTTCTGACTCCATAAAATAATCACTTCCCCTCTGAGTCAAGCCTGGTGTCTCGCAGCTTGCACTCGCCCACTCAGGCCGTTTAGTTCAGAATTTGTCTGCTTTTTGCCTTCCTGACTTCAGCAAACTGTAGTCTATGGCCCCAGGCCTTACAAAGCTGACTGCATTTGCCTTGTGTGTGAAAACAGTCCCCAGCGATTGCAGAGACTGACGATTTACAGTGGCAAAATCCATACTGAGTGCTGAAGCATCGTCATTGTGACTAGAATGTCTGTGAGCTGCAAGGGGCGAGTGTGCTCTGTAAATGCCACACCTGCAGGCCTAGCAAAGCGAGTTCTAAGTTCTGCCTGTGCTGGTCGTCATGCTATTACAAATGCCTTGCTCAGAGTTAAACCCGCCTGTTGAAAGACTCTTTCCTGCAGTGCTTTGTACACGTGTAACCCACTAGTGAGTTACGGGCCCGCTGTGTGTCTGCACGACAGAGTTAGTAACAGCCCCAGGGCTAGCACAAGCTGTAGCAGCTCCTGCTTTTAGCTGGGGAAGTCCCTGCTTCAGTCTCTGGCAGGTTGGCCAAGCTGAGAGCCATCCTACACTCAGTTCTGTGGGACTCTCAGCTGATTCCAGTGTACCAGAATCATATTCCCTTAGTATGTTTTCACAAGTCATTGTATTGATTAGCCATTTGGCTTCTCTTTGAATTACCACATTCAGATATTATGGAAAGTGAAATATGCTTTTTCCAATTCAGATGTAGCTCTTGGTTATTAAATTAGATTAAAATCCCTTGTAGGGGGTCCCATTCGCCCAGTTTTGAGGGCCACCTTTGGCTCTTCTTTCCTGGCGCTCCTAATTCTGGATGGAAAGAACCACCCATAGACCTGTGAACTCTTAATCAAGTTCAGACAGGCCTGAAAGTCTCCCCTGGTGTCGCTGCATAAATACGAGGGACATAGTCTCATTGCTGGGCTCTGATTTACACCATGTCACTTTCTTTCTAGGCTCTGTACCAGTTACCCTCAGAAGCTGCTAGTTCCTGTCTGGATCACTGACAAGGAGCTGGAGAATGTGGCTTCCTTCAGGTCTTGGAAAAGGATCCCTGTAGTTGTGTACAGGTAAAAAACCAAGACTCTACAATAGCTGCTCTGCTACTCCTAGGCCACTGTACAGACTCCCATGAATGCAGCCCCCTGGCTCTGGCTGAGGAATTGGAGAGGGCGGGTGTGGTGTCCACGGTGCAGCAAGCACTAATGGCTATCTCTGGGGCGGCCAGCCAGCTGAACTCGGACGAGGCCTGGTTTTGCTCGCTGTTACTGAAGCACTTATAAATCAGGCCGTGTGCCACCTTGCTCTCTGGGTGCTTTCCGAGCCTGACAGCAAATTGGGATCCCAGTGAGAGCCTGTAAGGGCGAAGCACCAGTGCATCTGACGTGTACAGCAGTTCCACACACGCTGCCCTTTGGGGGGGTGCCGCTGCACGTCAGACTCACAGGAACGTCTCTCTCCTGCTCCTGCCTTGGGTTTCCCCCGGAGGGATCAGGCCTGGGGGAGGGGCACTACTGGAGCAGGGTAGTGTACAAGAAAGAGGCATGTGGCTGTCCTGTCTTTCTGGCCAATGGCCATACTGTAAAGTGGCTGGGATTGTGCCAGAGGCCGTGACAGTGACTCCTGCCGCCAAGTTTGGGGGGATGTTTCCTTTACCATAATTAGCTGAGAGTTTCAGGCCTGGTCTTGGCCCGTGGGCTGAAAACAAACAGAATTTTGAGCAAAAATGGTTGTTGTCCTCAGACACCAGCCCAACGGCGCAGCAATCGCACGCTGCAGCCAGCCGGAAATCAGCTGGTGGGGCTGGCGCAATGCTGACGATGAGTATCTTGTGACCTCCATTGCCAAGGCCTGTGCCTTGAACCCTGGAACAAGGACAGCCAGTACAATTCCCCACAGCGGCGCCAGCGAAGGAGCGGAGCCCTGCGACACAGACTTTGGTAAGATGGGTCGCTCCCCTCTGTTTGCTTCCCAGGCTGGGCTGGGTCCCGCCCGAGGGTGCATGCAATGCTGGACAGCTGTTTCCTGGGGCTGGGAGTTGGGGTTGTAAGGTGGGATTTAAAAATGACACCTAGACGAACTATTCAGGCCCTGACTGCACTGTGCTGGGCAGGGCTTTAAATATGTCCTTTGTCAATGTCTTGCTGCACTGTGAAAGGCTTAAGGCCCAGATGGGAGGAGTTGTTTGTGTGTGGGGAAGTTCAGCCTGTCCTGTCTCTGCAGATTCCTCGCTGACGGCATGTTCAGGCGTGGAGAACGCAGCCGCCCCACAGAAGCTGCTGATCCTAGATGCCAGATCCTACACCGCGGCTGTTGCCAACAGGGCAAAGGGAGGGGGCTGTGAATGTGAAGGTATAAAATGGCTCTCAGGCAGCTTCGTAGCTGACCTCATAGCATTTCCCTGCTTGGGCCCCTTGGCTGCAGTGTAGACTGGGGCTGTCGTGCCGTGTTTCTGATCCAGATACTGATTTGTGCTGGCCCCTCTTACTTGCTAATGTGGAGGGCCACCTCCCAAATTACCATGAGGCTGCCCGCCCTAGGACAAGTGCCCAGCTGCTGCACATTGAGCTCCCAGGAACCGGGCAGGCAGCGTGGGCGTGAGGGGCAGCAGTGCCGACTTTCCTGTCTGTTGTTTTCAGAGTATTATCCAAACTGTGAGGTAGTGTTCATGGGCATGGCCAATATCCACTCCATCAGGAACAGCTTCCAGTACCTGCGTGCTGTCTGCAGCCAGATGCCAGATCCCAGCAAGTGAGTACTCTCCTGTCCCAGTGTGCTCTGATACCAGTCTTCCTGCTTTCTTCGTTCCCTCCCATTCCCCCGAGCCAGGTCGCCGGCTTAGCAGTCAGAGAGGTGGTCTCGTGGGCATGTTTACAGAACTTGAGCCTTGCATTTCCTGTAATCCAGGGATGAGGAACCTTTTTGGGTCAGGGCCATTCAGTCAGGAAAAATTAGTTGGGGGCCAAAAACAAGGGAGAGCTGGCCCCCAAGTGAAAAGGAGAGAGCGAAAAACCCCTCCCAGTCATGGCCCCAAACTGAAAACGGGGGAAAAAAAATCCCTCACTCCCCTCGAGCTCCCAACTCCGTAGGGGTTGGGAAGGCACCAAGGTTCAGCACTTACCCCTTAGTGCCAGATTAATTCTTCTGGGGGCTCAGGGCTAGAATATTTTGTGGGGCCCCTCGGGCTCTGGGGTGGGGCCAAAAATGAGGGGGTCAGTGTGTGGGAGGGAGGGTGCAGGAGTGGGCTGGGCGTGTGGAATGGGGGCAGGGGATTGGAGTGCTTACACGGTGTGCAGCCCCAGTGGGGCACAGGTGGCTCTGTGCTGCCCTGCTCCCCCTCCCTCCTGGCCGACGGGGGTGGAATCTGCAACAGATGCTTTCCTTCAGGGCTGCTCTCCCAGCCAGAGAACATAAGAACGGCTGTACGGGGTCAGACCAAAGGTCCATCTAGCCCAGTATCCTGTCTGCTGACAGTGGCCAGCACCAGGTGCCCAGAGAGGGTGGACCGAAGACAATGATCAAGCGATTTGTCTCCTGCCATCCCTCTCCAGTCTCTGACAAACAGAGGCCAAGGACACCATTTTATCCCCTGGCTAATAGCCTTTTATGGATCTAACCTCCATGAAATTATCTAGCTTCTCTTTAAACTCTGTTATAGTCCTAGCCTTCACAGCCTCCTCTGGCAAGGAGTTCCACAGGTTGACAACACGCTGTGTGAAGAAGAACTTTCTTTTATTAGTTTTAAACCTGCTACCCATTAATTTCATTTGGTGTCCTCTAGTTCTTCTATTTAGGGAACTAATAAATAACTTTTCTTTATCAGCCCTCTCCACACCACTCATGATTTTATAGACCTCTATCCTATCCCCCCTCAAAAAGAAGAGGAGAACCAGCAGCGCACAGAGCCATTTCCTCCCTCTGCCCCGCCAGGCAGAGCCAGTGGGCTGTAGGTCTCCCATCCCTGCTGTAATCTGTATTTACTATTGGGACATTGTTTTGCTGTACTTGGGGTATGCCATAAGCGCACCATTCTTCTGGGAGCAATGGAGCCCTCATGGCTTCTGTAACCAAAAAAGTACGGTTAAGGGGCTGGATTCTGGGGTTTTCTTCTTGGTTTGGTTTGCTCCCCCTGCGGGAGCTGGTGTAGACAAGGCAGTACTATTTACTGAGGGCTCCAAAGAGTCTTAGGATAGGAGTGCCCTGTAGCAGAGAGCTAACAGGCTATTTGTTTGTCTTTCTACATACACTCTAGCTGGCTTTCAGCCTTGGAGAGTACCAAGTGGCTGCAGCATCTCTCCATCATGTTGAAGGCAGCAGTTCTGGTCTCAAATGCCGTCGACCGAGAGGGGCGCCCGGTGCTGGTGCACTGCTCAGATGGCTGGGACAGAACCCCGCAGATTATAGCACTGGCAAAGATACTTTTGGACCCCTACTATAGGACCATGGAGGTACCGTACAGCAGTGCTGCTCTGTTAATTGAGCTTCTTTTAACAAGCTGCTTGTGCCTGTGATAAGTCTCGGACGGAAGCAGAAAAGATTATGGAGTGGAATTGCATTTCACATTTGAGCTGCTCTGCAAAGTGCCACGGGGCAGGCTATAATTACACCTGTGTCCCCTCTGATCTCTCAAGGAGACCCCCATTAGGCACTCGATGTCTCCGCAATCCCTCTTGGGCAGAGATTCATGTCTCTCGCCCTCCTGACTAGCGATTAACTAGTTAGTTTAATCAGCTAATCGACTAGTCGATGGATTTTCCATTGACTAGTTGATAAGCAGGGGTAGCTCCCAGCCCGGAGAGCTAACCCAGCTGTGGCTCTGCCTTTTAAATGTATTCAGAGATGTGATAGCCTGTGCCTCGCTGTGTTAGTTTCCCAACATATGTCTGGATAGTTGAAGTCCCCCATCACCACCAAATCTTGGGCTTTGGATAGTTTTGTTAATTGTTTAAAAAAGGCCTCATCCACCTCTTCCACCTGGCTAGGTGGCCTGTAGTAGACTCCTAGCATGATATCACCCTCGTTTTTTACCCCTTTTAGCTTAACCCAGAGACTCTCTACACAGCTATCTCCTACGTTCATCTCCACTTCAGTCAGTAGGCTCTTCATGCATTTAAAATGCTAAAGCACAGCGGGGGGGAGACCCAACTCAAGCTGGGCCAACCGATTCCCAGGTCGGGCTGGGCCCCCCAGCTGTGCGCCAGCCGTAAGTATAAAAAGGCTGGAGTGCAGTACAGAACTTGGCACAAGCTGGGAATCAGCTATCCCAACTCACCCCAGCTCTCTCCTGCTGTGCTTCAGATTTTTAAATGTATTAAGAACTGGCATGCTCTTAATATATTTAAAAAGTAGAGGCACAGCATCTGGGACTGGGTGCGAGCCAGGAATCAGCTGATTCCCGGCTTGCGCCTGGTCCTTGCTACTCCCCTTTCTTCCCTGCCCCCCGCAGAGATGGTGCTTGAGTGAACCGGCTTTTAAGCTGGCTTCCCCACTGGCACCAGCTCCTAGAATCATAGAACCATAGAGTGGAAGAGCCCTCAGAAGGTCATCAAGTCCAGCCCCCTGCCCTACGCAGGACCAATCCCAACTAAACCCAGCTAGGGCTTTGTCAAGCCGAGACTTAAACACCTCTAGGGATGGAGACTCCACTACTTCCCTAGGGAACCCAGCCCAGTGCTTCACCACTCTCCTAGTGAAATAGTTTTTCCTAATATCCAACCTAGACCTCTCCCACCACAACTTGAGCCCATTGCTCCTTGTTTTGCCATCTGTCACTACTGAGAACAGCCTCTCTCCAGCCTCTTTGGAACTGCTCTTCAGGAAGTTGAAGGCTGCTCTCATATCCCCCCTCACTCTTTGCTTCTGCAGAGTGAACAGACCCAACTCCCTCCGCCTCTCCTCACAGGTCATATGCTCCAGCCCCCTAATCATTTTGGTTGCCCTCCGCTGGGCTCTCCATCCTCTTTGGAGCTGGACACAATACTCCAGATGTGGCCTCACCAGAGCTGAATGAAGGGGAATCATCACTTCCCTAGATCTGTCAGCAATGCCCCTCCTAAGGCCCCCTAATACGCCATTCGCCCTCTTGGCTACAAGGGTGCCCTGGTGACTCCTCTCCAGCTTCTCAGCCACTGGAATCCCCAGGTTCTTTTCTGCCAAACTGCTGCGTAGCCAGTCGGCCCCCAGCCTGTACCAATACTTGGGATTCTTCCGTCCCAAGGGCAGGACTCTACACTTGTCCTTGTTGCACCTCATCAGATTTCTTGTGGCCCAATCCTCCAATTTGTCTAAGTCACTCTGGACCCTATCTCTGCCCTCAAGCATATCTACCTGTCCCCCTAGCTTAGTGTCATCTGCAAACTTGCTGAGGGTGCAATCCATCCCCTCATCCAGGTCATTAATAAAGATATTAAATAAAACCGGCCCTAGAACCGAACCTTGGGGCACTCCGCTAGAAACCGACCGCCAACCTGATGTCGAGCTGTTGATCACTATCCGCTGGGCCCAGTCTTCTATCCATCTTACCGTCCATTTATCCAATCCACGTTCCTTTAACTTGCTGGCAAGGATGTTGTGGGAGACTGTATCATACCTTGACTTGAGCAAGGATTTTATCACATCCACTGACTTTCCCATGTCCACAGAGCCAGTTACCACATCATAGAAGCTAATCAGATTGGTCAGGAACGACTTGCCCTTTGTGAATCCATGCTGACTATTCCTGATCACCAGGGCTCGCTGAGCGTCAGCAAGCCCTGCTCGCTTTCTGCACTCTGCGCATGTGTAGATCGCTCTGCGCCAGCTCTTCCAGGGTGTAATCTGCTCGCCATGGGCAAGTAGATTACATTGTTTGTCGAGCCCTGCTGATCACTTTCCTCTCTTCCAAGTGCCTCAAAATGGATTTCTTAAGGATCCCGTCTATGATTTTTCCAGGAACCAAGGTAAGACTTACTGGCCTATAGGAACCTAGTCCGAACTACCTAGTTCGAGCCCCGTGTAGCCGCGCTACACGGGGTTCGAACCAGCGGGGATTTAAAAATGGCGGCTCCCCGCTTATGCAAATGAAGCCCGGGAAATTCAAATCCCGGGCTTCA